AAATGGCTGATTCTCTAACCAGGTTGCCTCCTACCCTCTCGTGCACATAATTTAGCTAGCAGCCCCATTGTTTCTTTATCCCTTTCTCTCCCTTTGGTCTCAAAGTGTCTAAGATGCCAGCACTTTTGAGTTGGAAGGGCTGAGATGGAGACCAGTATTGCCTTTGTTCAATATGGAAAGTGAAGAGAGGACAGAGGAAGCTGTCTGCCCACCAGCTGGGAGTCGGGAGGTGTCTTGGCTGCGGTGACCACCTACCAAGAGCCAGGTGCTTTGCTAAACACTTGATATGTGGAATCTCAGTCAATCCTCCCATTGTCAGGAGGTGGAAGCTGTTTCAGCCCAGCACAGTATATCTCAGGGATATTAGGAAAAACCTGCCCAAGGTCACAGGGCCAGTCAGCGCCAGCACCAACCCTTGAACCCAGACACAAACAGGAAGCTGCCATTGGGACCACCCTGAATTCAGGCTGGAATTTCCCATGAGGTGGGCAAGGACCTCAGGAGAGATGGCCACTGAGCACTGAAAGTTTGCAGAGCAGTGTCTGGAGGTCAACCTGGCTGTCCCCTGATGCATCCCTCTCAGAGAATTTTTTGTAGATACTGAGACCCACGTGTCACCTCTTGGGGTGAAAAAAAGAACCCATCGCAGGGCATTCCTCCTACCACTGGGACTCGGGGAGCGCGGGTTCTTAGTTGAGACTAACCTTTCACACCCAAGTTTGACCTTTAGGAGCTCAGAGACACTTAGCTCCTTCTGGAATCCAGAGGCCCAGCTGGTGAGCCTGAAGCCTGCCTCCTCCCTCCGGGAGTGTTAGGGAGCTGAGCCACTCTCAGAGGATATTTTATTTTCACACTTTGGTAGGAATTTCTAGTCTCCCAATAGGTGGTGGGGGATGAAGGCTGTATCTGTGATGTTGCCTGATTCAGGAATCAGAAGACCTTTTGGAAGGATTCTAGCAGTGATCTGGTCCAACCCTTCATTATACTGATGGAAATGTGGAGGCCTCAGACAGGAGAAAGCTGGGACTGTGCTTTTTAAATGTACAGTTCAGTGGCATTAAGTACATTCACATTGCTGTGCAACCATCATCACCATCCGTCTCCAGAACTTTGTCTTCATCTCTACATGAAATCATCCTTCTGTTTTTTACACACTTACATGTGCTTGTCATGTGCCTGCCTGTGTCCCAAACACTTCACACATATTAACTCATTTCACCCTCACAACTCTGCAAGGTAGGCATTACTGTTATGTCCACTCTACGGATGAGAAAACTGAGGCACTGAGAGGTTAAGATGGTGCAGTTATTAGATAGCAGAGCTGGACTTCACATTCAGGACACCTGGCTCAGAGTCTGACCTCTGACAACTACAGAAGCTCCTGAACACTGCCTGGGGTAGGCGGCTGAGGCCACCCCCTCCCATCGGCACCGACGCCACCCAGCAGCAGAGGCAGAAAGAGGGCGCTCCCAGGATGGCAGGTCTGGGTTATGCAAGGTTGGAGAGAAGGGCCACGAGCTGGGCCCCACCATTGTGGGACATGCGGGGAGTGGACAGGGACCCCAAAGCCTTCATTGTCCTCCTTCAAATTTAGCCTCTTAACCAAATATTGAGAGGGGTTGGAGACTGAGTAAATTTCTCATTGTCTTCCTGGGAAACAAGGTGTGGGACGAAGTACTTAATGTGCCTCAGGCCTGTCTGTGCTGCACTGGCCTTTGGCCTGGAGGCAGGGGCTCCTCGTGTGGACATTTCACAGCGTCCTTGGAGACTCAGCCTCTCCTGGAGGCTGCCAGCCTCCTGACCTGGAGTGTGGACCCCACCGGGCAGGGGTGCACAGAGTCAAGGCTGAGCGGCCAGGACCCACAGCTTGCTCAGCGCTTACATCACCCTCCGTGGGTACACCTGCCGTGCACCTGCCGTGCTAGCAGTCAGCCAGGCTTGCTGTGATGTGCAGTCACCCAGGTACCTGGGGACAGAGGCCCTCAGAGGGTTTCTGGGGCAAAGCTCAGCTGGCCTCCCTTTGGTATGGGATTTGCATGAGGCCCTGTGCTACCTTTAGGTGGGGAAAACTGGGCTGGGAGAGGAAGAAGTGTGGGAGGGTGGCCTGGGGGACAGCGAGGGGACTCCTGTTTACTGAGCACTTGTTGCTGCCAGGCTATTTATTTCACAGTTTGGTTCCCTTAATCCTTACAGTGAATCTCATCATCCCTGCTTTAAGGACAAGGAAATAGAAGCTCAGAGAATATCAATCATATTAATATCAATAACCACCACATTACATCATTTATAAGATGACCATGTAGGATAGTTAAGTGCTCAAGTCAACCTGCATGAAACATAACTGACTGTGAGACTTTGGGCAGGTCATGCACCCTCTCTGTGCCTGTTTTTTTAATCTATAAAATGAGAATAATAATTACTTCTCATAAGATTTCTATAAGGATGAGATGGGTGCTTGGCATAGGGTCTGGGGCATAGCTAGTATTTAGCGAATGTTAGCTAAGCCATGATGATCAAGCAGTCACAGTGTACTAGGCTTTGGGTTACGGGTTTCTTTCTACAACATTGTTTAAATATAAAAACTCCAAGAGATTGGCATTATCATCTCCCTTTTACCTGTTAGCAAACTAAGGCTCAGAGAGGTTAGTGGAGTCCCCCAAGGCCACAGAGCTGGGAAGAGGATGGGGCGAGGATTCCAGTGCTTTCCTCTCTGTAGAGGCACCCTTCCTCTGCCCTGAACACTGGTGAGAGCTGGCATTTTCAGGCCCCCAGCACTGCCTGGACGCCCACCTGAGGCCAGCACCACCTCCTGCCCCACCTGTCCGAGCTCAGATGGGCTTCTCCAGATGTACACACCTGTCTGATGCTCAAAGGCAGGATAATACTCTTCATTGCTGAACAGATCAGTCCACGACATCAGGGGGTCGCAGAAGGATGCGTTGGGCAGGAAGGTGCTGTGTGTCACTGAGTCCAACATCACCCTGTAATGGCAGGAGAGGCTGTGAGGAGGCGGATGATGGTTCCTGGAAGCCACACTGCAGGAGCCCCCGGCAGGGCGATGCCTGGTTTTTAATAATGATAGCAAACACTTATAAATCAGGCAGCCTCCCAGGAGCCAGGGACCCCTCTCAGTGCTTTCCCTGGTGACATTATTTAAATCCTTGACACATCTTGTGAGGTTTGTGTGTATAGCTCCATTTTAGAGATGAGAAAACTGAGGCAGAGGGGTTGAAGTCAGTTGCCCGGGTAACATGGCCGGTAAGTGGCAAAGATGGGATTTCAGGATGAAGGCTTTTATTATGCAGTGGTGCCGCCTCCTTTACTTTTGCTATCCTCTCACACCTGACCCCTGAATGCTGGCTTATAGTGTCTAACAATATGCTTCTGAAAACAGGGCAAGATTGTTATACATGAATATACCCACAAACACTTATCCACATTCTGAAATCCGAAAGCTCTGAAACTGAAAGAGTGTGTGTGTTTGGTGCAAACTTATTTCCCAGCAAAAAGAGTCCTGAACTGATGTTATGTAGGTTTTATATAATGTCATATATATGTGACATCTATGCTTCTATTTTGTATACAAACCAATACTATATGTTTATATAGTCATATATAAACTATAGACAGGCTGCATAGTTTATTTGTCCTACTTGATGAATATTCCTATGATACACTGCAGAAATATTACTGTATTTAAGCAGTCCTGGCAAGCAGGCAATTCCTTGAGAGGGGTATTTTGTGCTGTGCTCTGTATGCCTTGTGTAAGCCTCCTAATCCTTGAAAAATTCTGAATTCTGCAGCACATCTCGCCCCAGGGTTCTGGATAGGAGCGTGTGGACCTGTGATAATTGTAACACACTTGCTTCACTGAGGGCTCTGGGCTGAGCAGTTGACGTTCATTATTCATGGTGTCCCCAGTGCAACCACTCTGAGATGGGCTCTGGTAGGGTTCTGTTTTGCAGATAAGGGATGGGCGCTCCGAGATTGCAGGTAACATGTCCCGCACCACCCAGCTGGCAGGTGGTAGAGTTTGGGTGACAACTCAGGTTGTTCTATTTAAGAAGTCCTGATCCTACTCGCTGTGCTCTAGTCCCTGCACACACTGGTGATTGGGAAGCTTTGGGAGAAGGTCTCTGATCGAAGTTGGAAAGCAGATAGAAAAAAACGGGCCTGGGCCCCCCACTCACAAGCATTCTTGCCCACGCCAGTCTCATCTTTCAAGTTTCTCTTTGCTGTTTCCTATTCCCTCGGTTGAAGGAAAAAAAGGACAATTTGTTTAGTGAATTAGAAAAATATGTTCACTCAGCTTCTTTTATGATTATTGCAGTAAATTGATGAGATAGAGTTGATTCTACCCTCTTTTGCAAAGGGGGCACGGCAGCTCATGATTACACAGCTGGTAACTGTCAGAGCAAAGACTAGATTCCAGGTCTTGGGTTATTAAGCACATGGAATTTTAAGATGGTCAGGAGTTTATTCATCATCTAGTCCAGTGTTTCCCAAACTTTAGTCGTTTGCCTGCCTCCGTGATAATTAATACATTAAAAAAAATCACCTCTATTTCTGTTTAACATAACTACATGTATTTAAAAGGAAAACTTTATATTACCACTGTACGTGGAAAGTCAGTATTCATTTAACATACATAAAAATAAAGACATAAGCATTTAAGTAAAAATTAGTCATCCATGCACCACCTGGATCAGAGGTTAGCAAATTACAACCGACAGGCACAATCTAGCCCACCACATATTCTGAATGGCCCACAGATAAAAATGATTTTACATTTTTAAATGGTTACATATTAAATGGTTATATAAGTATGGACATAATGTACTTGATTTTGCCTTTAGGCCTGCAAATCCTAAAACATTTACTCTCTGGTGCTTTAAGAAAAGGTCTGCCTACCCCAACTGGATTTATCTTGTGTATTGTGAGTGGTGTGAGCACTGCATGTTGGTCCGGTCTTTTCCCTCTCCCCGTCATTTTACAGTTGAGAAAGTTAAGTCCCGGGGAATTTGTGGAACTTTGTCAGGGTCACACAGCCAATGGGTGGCAGCCTTACAGTGTAGAGAATTCTAAAATTTTCCAACTCTCGACCCATCTACTTCCCTTTCTAAAAACTCTCATGGTCTCACCTGCTCACAGACACATCCCAGGTGCAGTTACATATCAAATAGGACCTCAGTCCTGAGAAGGGCGAGCATTGTTGATTCCAGAACCAAAGACCAATTCTTTGGGGGTCTTTGCAAATCTGTCATCATCATCACCATCAGATGTGCACAAGGACTGTTCTCCAGACATAGACAAATGACTGTGTTCAGATTCTCACACACAGGCACTCTCTCTGGGCCATCATCGGAGAGAGTCACCAGACCCCACTAGGAAGCCTCCTTCCTGATGCCCAGAGAGGGTTAACGTGCCCAGCGGATTATCACGGTCATGGATCTCCGCCTGGGAGCCGTATCAAACAGAGGTCAAGGCTGCCTGGGTTTGGACTCTGATTTTCCCACGGATTGGCTGGTTTTATATCCTAAGCAAGCGGCTGGATGACGAGGGATGGGGGTAGTGGATTACGAGAGAGGGGAGGGCCCCTGGAGCCCAGAGCCCATTCCGCTTTCTGGACTCGACCTCAGATAAGTTCCCCCACGTGAGGGCTAAAGGTAAAAATGCCCCCTGCCTCTTGGAGCTGGAGGCTTCAGAAACTGAGGAAGAGGAGGCAGACCTCTGACACGGCTTTCATGGGTGGGTTTGGAGAGAGGAGAGGTGGCCTCTGCGTAGAAGGAAACTGAAAATAGTCCCCAGGTCTTCCGTGTTAATTAGAAATCCTCCAGATACAAAACGCCACAGCAGGAGTGCGCACCTCCTCATCTCCACCTGACAGATAGCTCTGAGAAGTCACTCAGCAAATTGAATTTGATCATATAAAAATTAAGAAAGTTTTTGTGCAATCCGATATTTGTCTCCTTTTAAAGATTTCTTTTTTCCTCTTTGCACCAGCCCACTCGCTTGCTCTGTCATCTCTCTCGTGCCCTACACGGTGCCCTATGTCTCTGATCCCCTTTGGTAGTTGCTTCTGTGGCAAATTATATCCATTAGGCTTTCTTAAAGGGCTCTCTCAGGTGTACAATGTGCTATTTTTCTTCTGTAATTAATTTTTTGCTTTGTGGAAAAATGTGTTTTATAAAAGGCTGCAGCTTCCCCCCCCCCCTTGCTATTGCAGTAGGAGGAGGGAATTATTAACTCTGGACTCTCCACAAAAGACCTTGGCCACTAAGCCAGCAGGCTCTAGCTGTGGAAGTTCAGGAATAATGGCTGCTTTTTATTCAGCTGCCCAGCGTCTTAGGCCCTCTATGGGCCTGGCGATAATTGAACATTTTAGCTCTTAAGGTTTCTTTAATGTAGGTGGGACAGGGTGGTGGGAAAGAACAGCTGTTTGCAGCCCCATTTCTTAGTGGGGACTTGGAGGCCCAATGATATGTAGGCCGAGGCCTGAAGTCAGAACATGCATTCCCAACGGGGGAAACATTGACCCCAGATGGAAAAAACTGACTCTTGAGGGTCAAAAAAAATCTTAGACATTATTATTCTTTGTGATCCTCCAAAGGGCCACAGTACATAAAGGATAAACGGTAAATCTGGGATAGTAACATTTCATGGAGCGGGTTCAATTAAGAAACAATGATCTAAAAAGACTCCTTAGTAGGGGCGATAATAACAAAAGAGTCTGCGAAGCACTGGGTTAGACCTGGAAGGACAAGAAGAGGACGCCCAGGGAGGGTCCTAGGCCTGCTGTTCTAACCACACATTTTTGTGTTGTGAGAGGCTGGCTGGTTTGTCATCATGGAAAGAGCACTGGGCTGGGAGTCATGATTCTGCCTCTTGCTCCTCTCCAAGCCTCAATTCTTCATCTGCTAAATGAACACACCGATGAGGCCAACTCCAAAATGTGCCCTAGCTGCATGATTTTCTGTAGGAACCCACCCGATTTAGCTGACACATCCACACACGTGCACAATGCATACACATACACACGTACACATGCAGGCACGTAAGCTCACTGAATTGGAGTAAAATTCAACCACTATGGAGATGAAGCTTTTAGCTCTAAAAATTCCCCCAGTTTTCTCTTCTCCCTTTCCTCCTATGCCCATGCTCAGCTGTGGACTCTGGACATTCTTTGCCTGCGCTAGCCAGGCCCCTTAAGAACTCTAGAGCCTCACTCACTGCCCATCCATAGACCCACGGCAACTGGAATCAGTTTCCCTAAAGTGTAGACAACATTTCAGCTGCCTAGTAAGTAGGAAAGGATCAAGCACATTCCGCACAAGGGGGAGGAATCGAGTGGGCTCTCTTCCATGCACGAGAAAGGCTGGCTGCAGGTACCTTTGAAAATGGCATGGACGCTGAAGTCCCCGATGTCTCCAGTGGCTTCCTAACCCTTCTGAGAGCCGGCTCACTCACCAAGGTGCACAGGGAGGGTCCGCACAGTCAGAGAGACAGGCCTCCGGGCTTCTTGCCCTCACACAAGTCAGAGGCAGCAGTCACAGGTGTGGTGCTCATGGCACCTCTGCTCAGCCTTCCAGAGAGAGCAGAAGGAGCAAACCACCCAGCCTTGGCCAGTTTGCCAGAGGAGGAAAATTCCTTCCTGACCCTGGCAGAGATCATCAACTTCACTCTGGGCATGTGACCAAAAATTCACCCAATTAAGCACCTACACATTGGCTGTTTATGCGCCAAAACATCGCTGGGCAGAACAAGGCCATGAGGGTGTAAACCATGGTAAAGGGGACCAAGGAGGGCCTTCCCTGGTAAAGGGGACCAAGGAGGGCCTTCCCTGATCCCATCATCTGAGCAGTCTCACTGGGAAGAATAATGCTTTTCCTTCTCTAAAGCCTCCGCGGTATCCCAGTTGTCCACCAGGACCCAAGCCCTGCGATGAGGCAGGGCCAACTTCCCACCCTTCAGACCTCCCTAA